AGGACAATAGACAGGCCTGATTAATTTTGGGTTAAAATTTGTTCATATTAATTCTCTAATTAGCATAATAATTCATAATTGTTTTGTTCTGTTCTGTTCATATTAATTACCTGATTTACATAATTAGTTTTCAGCTTTTCCATCAATATCTCATGTACAAGTAATTTTGAATTAATTTTTAATGTGTCTTCAATACTCTCAGCACACGAGAGTTCTTTCTAAGCTTTCTTTGATTAGATGTTGTGTTGTGGGCAGTTGCAGTGAAACGTATAGTCATAGTGTAAGTATTCACACGTTTTTAATCGATCCGAAGGTGCGACATCAGTGGAGGAAAGCCACTTAACCTCAGATTCCTTTTTTTGTAAAAACTGTCCTAGTCCATGAAAAAAACAACTAGGTTTAAAGAGAAACGCCGACAACATAAACCTGGCGCAACACTTTTGAAAGAAATAGATTCCAGACCATGATCACCGAGGCAGATTTCAGAAGAGAGATAGACATCCGGCAAGTGTTTCAAATGAGTTGACTTTTTTTGCGACCTTGATTATCGTTTTATAGAGACCATTTATTCCCTGTTAAGTAAAAGGTAGCAATAATTTTGACAGTGACACGAAAACGAAGCGTCGGACAAACAGGAAATTACACAGCCCTTACACACTGCTAATTGTTTTCATTTTCGAAGGCTAAAAGTTTCTGAATTGTTTGGTGATTGGTGTTGAATGTCGAATTCACACCTCTGTTCTTTATTTACATCCATGCTTGCAGCTTGATCTGCGTAATAATTTATGAAATAAGAATCCGGGCTTGGTCAATGTGTTTCCACCAAATAAAGTTTTAATATGATGTTATAATCATGACAATCACACCATGGATCAACGCTAACTCGAATCCACTCCGAATTTATCTGTACGTGTGTCGATCTCGATTATTTTTTAACGCACTTGCCCTCGTCGTGACCCGGCGCGTTCACCTATTTCAACAAAATTTCAATTTATTTTCATGCGGCTGTCATTTATTTAGTAACTGTGCTTTGTCATTTTTTTTAATTATTTTATAGTGATCACTATAGTCTAATGTTTAGAATGTCAAAATATGTTCTCTTTTATTTTAATTTTGAAAGTTTTACTCAGAAGATCGATGAAATAAAACAGTGTAGTGACGTGCCTAATAACCTGCTAAATAACGAGATAATTCCGACGTGAAATTCTATTTTGTCCAGCGACAGTGTACAAACGTGCACCGCTGGCGATCATGGTGACCAGCTACACCAGAACGGACATATTTGGCATCTAACCTCAACCCCATGCAACAAAAATCGATACTACCCGGTATGTGTTAATTATGGTTCATTCCTCCTGGACGAACAAGTACATAAGTGAAAATTTAGTCAAAGACGAGAAAACTGCAGAAGAAATTTGCCTTATTTACACGTATCGGCAATGCAAGCTGCCATGCGACTTCCCTTTCTGACATCACAAGGGGAATTTCTGTAAGCTAATGAGGAGCCTCGTTTTAAAATACACAAAAATAAAGTTGCCGTAGATTGAGTTTAAAACACATTTTTTCACTTAAAAAAAAATAATTCATGCTTAGAAACATAAAAATTAATAATATTTATGTATCAATGGATAATTTTAGGCGTGAAAACAGCCATTTCACAGGTACTTTAAGCTAGGATTTATTACTGTTATTATCATTATATTGTCACGTGATTTGTTCCACCTTTTGTGTAATGTCTTAAGTATCTTTATTGTAATTTGTATATACCAATTCGTATATACCCAGCAAACGACCCCGATTGAAGGTCATGTATTTTGTGGCGTCACCAATTCGTGTGTAGGTACGGCTTCTTGAACTGTGCGTTAATGTTAGCCAGCGCTGATCTGATCAACATATTTAATAACCTGGAAGTTCTGGAAGTTGATTGTAACAAATGATAATAGAAAACTGAGAATGTATACATGTATAAAGTTTAATGACTCATACACTTTTGAACCATATTTGCTCTTATGTAATCTGAAACATAAAATCATAATGACTCTTTTCAGAATAAGCAGTCATGTATTAGAAATAGAGAAGGGTAGACATACCCAATCCAAAATACCTTTAGAAGACAGGATCTGTAAGCAATATTCCCAGATGAAAATTAAAATTGAACATTTATTCATGGAATGTCTTAGATATCAAACAGAGACAAAAGTTATTTAATAATATTATTTAATATAATATTCCAGAAGAATTAAAAAGTGATGTACAGATATTTGAATATATTACGAGTTCAAGAGAAGACATAGTAATAAGACAAGTTGGTGAATACTTTTACTAAATGTTTGAAATTAGAAATAACAATAACTGACATTTTACTTTAGTTTTATATGTATTGTACTTTATTACTAACATTTTATTGCTGTCAACCAATTGAAACTATTTCTAAGAATGCAATGTATTTCATTATTATTATTATTATTATCTGAAGCACTCTGCTATTTGCTTGACGACAACACTGTATATTTATAATATTAGTTACAATATGTTTGGCATATACCGTACTTGACCACGTCCATGCCCAGGCAAGCGCCCACCCCTACTTTTGCGCAATTTTTATATTCGGGGTCACATTCGGCAAAGCGTCCACCCCTTCAAAATGCAACTAATTTAAAACTTGGTCTTGCCTAACGAATCTTGGTAATCGTTTTTATATGATATAGCGTGGATATCGACCGCTGTGAATACATGTATGTTGTGAATGCGTAGACCACGCGTAAACTACGCTTTGACAATGACCTGTTAATACAAGTAAAATGCGGTAAATATTTCATGCCATATTCAGTTTACCTCTCAAAAATAGCTAGTTACCAGTTTATTTGAAAAACCATGTCGTTTATTCGCTGAAATCAATTCCAATAGATCGTACTTCGACATCGATAATTCACTTCCGCATTGCGTTACCAGAAAGTCTTCAGGAATTTCCGAAGAATTGCGTCAGTACACAGCATTCTGATTGGTTAATAACCAAATTGACCCATTAGGTCCAAGGACGCTGCTGCCAGTCAAATCTGCAAATGCATCATGGCGAAAGTGATTTTCATCAAGAGTTTGCGTATGATCCAACACCTTCGTCAGTGGAGATAATGATGAGAATTTTGACTTTTACTGTGTTCCAACAGACTCTAATGTTTTTAATTTCGTAAATTCTTGTGGTACGTAATTAATATTGTAATAAAATGTGCATATTTTTTGTGGTCATTTCTGTTTCTTCATTGTAAAAATCAATGACGACGCAACTAATTACGTAATTTGATTTTCCCCAACGACGTAATTACCCCCCTCAATCTGTCACATGATGAATCAAAATTTTCATTTCCATTCTTTTTCGAGGGGGGTGCTCGGGTGAGCGCCCACCCCTAAAAAATCATGATTTTCTGAGTTGAGGCCCCTGGGCGCTAACGCTGTCCAGTACGATCTATTTGCATATTTTTAGTCCCAAGGAGAATTGTAGAGGTGTATTATTATTATTAATAATTGGTACTTGCTAAGTAGACTCATCTGACTAAAGCTTGAATGCATACCTGTATGCTATTTAATGTATGCATACCCAACACAATAGCTTTAAAAGGTCACGCCAGGTTGCCGTGGAATATGCCATCTCTGGTGACTGTTTAGTCCCCGAAAACAGGGACGTATGTTGATGTTTTGTGTGTGCGTGCGTGCGTGCGTGCGTGCGTGCCTGTATCTAAGGCATGCCTGGACCAATCACAATCAAACTTCACACATACATGTACATCATACATGATATTATACATATGCACATCAATTTGTTTCACGATCTGATTCAAGATAGCCGAATGGTGGCCATTTTTGTACTGAAAAATCATCAAAATTAAGCATTTCTCGGCTGTTTACAGATGGATTTTGTTTGATCTTGATATACCGGTACATCATTTTATTTTTCAGATCCAATTTAAAATGGCCGAATTGTGGCCATTTTGTTTCAATAAATGCAGTTCTAGTGCCATATCTCTGCCATGCTTCGACTGTTTATGATAAAATATTATATATTCATTATACATTATGACATAGATATATTTGACTATCTGATTCAAAATGGCCAAATGGCAGACATTTTTGTGCTAAAAAATCATTAAAAAATCAAGCATTTCTGGCATTCCAGAACTGGATCTTGGCGTTTATAGATGGATTTTGTTCAAACTTGGTACATACATTTGAGATTATGGGTTCCTGATGCACATCATTTTATTTTTCAGAACAGATTCAAAACTGGCGGTGGCCATTTTGTTTAAATGAATGCACTGTAGAGCCATATCTCTGATATGCCTTGACTGATTATGTTCAAATTTTATGTTTGTTTTATATCATGTTTTAGATATATAGTTGTATTCAAAATGGCCGACTGGTGGTCATTTTGTTTTAGTTATGCTGTTCCAGAGCAATATTTCTCATCATCATAATCAAGCATCATCTTCTGGATCCCTACTTCTGACATGTTTATGTTCTAACTATATTACTATAAACAATATGTATATATATGTAATTGTATAATATTATCTTGACTTTGCTTTCATGCAGCAGTCAGACACTTGCCCAATTTTCCTGTTTTCAGATCTCTTATATGTAGGAATATTCTGCCATTATCAGAAAAAAATTCATGGAAGTCTTCCAGGTTTGCATGGTATTATTGGTTAGCCTATTGGGTTTAGTAGATACTTAGAGCCATACAAAACAGCGTGAATAGAAATAAATACATGTCATATTTCTCAATTTGTGAAGAGCTCCAATAATTTTTATTTGAAAATAAAGTACTAATTTATAATATTTTCTAAATTTCCAGTATTCCGGTTTGGCTACTTATTTTGTATACACTACAATATGCAATATAATTTACATGTTAGCAGATACAAATTAGAATGGTCATGCATATCATATTTTAGTAAATAAAACTGAAATCAAGTCATAGCATTGCCATCATTTTTTTACTCTAGGTCTTTTGTACTCACAACAATGCCAGCGTTGTTAGAGAGGCCTAAAATGACTGAAGCTATGGCTGCGGCCTTGAAACATCATATTTTGAAAGAAAGAGAACGTAAGCGTCAAGGTGAGTTCCAATTTTGTTTTGAGTATGTTTTTTTGCAGTAATAATAAAGCAGGTCAATTTTGAATAAAATGTCTTTTTATCATTGTTAACAATCTTCTTATGACCATTGAGGGCATTCTGATTAAAATATGCTCCTAGTTTTGGCTTTTTCTCATTTTTAGCTCCGCTGTCGACTTTGTCGAGCGGAGCTTATCATATGAGTGATCGTCCGGCGGCGTCTTGCGTCAGTCGTCGTCCAGCGTCTGTCGTCCATGTCAATGTTTTACTTTTTCGACTTCTTCTTGAAAACAACAAGCCTGAATGTTTTGATACTTGGTATATATGTACCTTGGGTAGACCTCTCTTAGATTTGTTCATTTCATGATGATATCTTCAATTCTCTAATTTTGGTGAATATTTTTGTCATTTTTGGTAAAAAGTGATATTTTCAACTTCTTGTTAAAAACTGCAAGTCCAATTGCTTTGATATTACATATATAGGTACTACATTGTACATGTGGATCTCTCTCAGATTTATTCATTTTGTAATGATATCTTCAATTCTCTAATTTTGGTGAATATTTTTGTCATTTTTGGTAAAAAGTGATATTTTCAACTTGTTAAAAACCGCAAGTCCAATTGCTTTGATATTACATATATAGATACTACATGTGGACCTCTCTCAGATTTGTTCATTTTGTAATGATATCTTTAATTCTCTAATTTTGGTGAATACTTTTGTCATTTTTGGTAAAAAGTGATATTTTTGACTTCTTGTAAAAAATCACAAGTCCAATTGCTTTGATATTACATATATAGGTACTACATGTGGACCACTCTCAAATTTGTTTATTTCATGATATTTTAAATTCTCTAATTTTGATGAATATTTTTATCATTTTTGGTAAAAAGTGATATTTTCTTCTTGTTAAAAACCACAATCATTTATGGTGAAAAATGATATTTTTGAATTCTTGTTGAAAACAGCAAGTCCCATTGCTTTGATACTATACCTATTGTTCATTTTCTAATGATATCTTCTGTTCTTTAATTGAAATGTGCATTGCTAACAGCGGAGCTATCTCAGCCGAGAGGCTGCTTGTTTTCATTTAATATTTTATTTTATTTTGATCTATTATTTTTTTGTTGATAGTTTTTTATAATTTTGGTAATTGCGAATGTCAATACAAGGATCTGACCCAATTTCTAGATACTGTAAAACGTGTTTAAATAGCTACATGTGTACATGCCATTATAGCGAATTTAACTCCATCCATGCATGAATTAACTGAATCTTAATTTAGCTAAAGTGTCAACAATCTCATTGTGAGGATATACTTATTTTAAATCTTGAATTAGCGAAATTATAGATTAGCTAAATTAGCTAAAATAACATGCTAGCTAAAAAGACACGTTTTACAGTAAATCCCGTTCAAATCTTGTATAACCTAACCTTTCTTGCAGTCATAGCTAGCCTTTTATATTGGCCGATGACGTACTCAGTGAAGAAAATAATTAACAAACAATTGTATTGTGTAGCATGGGTTTCATTTTGAAGACAATCATCTCAATCATGATTGACACAAAAATACAAATACAAATTTTTAATTTCTTCAGCATAAAGAATTTATTTGAATGCAACTATTGCATACTTGATTTGCAGTAACATTTAGATTGATTTCAGTATTATTACTGTCACTGCACCTCAAATTGTTAAAGTGTGAGAAGCGCACACTTTTCGCAGTTTAACAAGACTTCATGTTCTCATGGATGTTGGTGATAATTTGTTTCTTCCATGCATTTTCTCATAAATTTTTGTCGACCCTTGATAATTCTCACAAATTATCAATGGGAATTTGGATTCTCATCATTGAACTGTTTTATTTTGAAATTCCACACCACCACCACGTCGAAAAATACCAGTGGCGAAGAAAATATTGAGTGTAGATGAAGTGCGAGAAAGTATCTCAGTGTAGCAATACATCAATTCATGTACAGCTCAATAAATTAATTTGCATAAACCATCACTGGTAATAGAAATTTTTTATTTACATAAAGAGATTCCACAGCATTTTATAATTTTTGTCATTACATTGAATATTTTTTTCATTTCCAACAAATGTGTACACTTCCTGATGCATCTTCGCCAGCCAAGGTTTGTTTATTCAGTCATCGCTTCAATTTTACACTAAACACTGAGCATAATTATCTAGAATGGAAGCAAAAAATAAGTAAATCATAATAATAAGAACACTGTAAACACTATAGTAAATAATGCAATCTGATTTTAAATTTATAACGGTCACCGACACAAGGCGTCCACGCATTGGAGTATTGGAGCAAAAAATATTTCCTGATCAATTGCGATGTGTTCCAAATAAAAAATATTTTATTCCAGTCCAAATCAGCTCAATTACTTTAATAAAGAGTTATTGTATATTATGTTGATGAATATTTACAGCTACGGCTTCAATACTGTAGACAATTTTGGCCCTATCATCAACAAAACATCACCCGTCTCCAGGGCAAGTGACTGGAAAAAGATACTGGTGTTTGGTGGAAAAAAGTCGTCACTCCCGGAATAACTACGTAAAATAATGAACTAAACTGGAACTATTTAAGCCACAATGTATGACACAACACATAAATATTTGATAACAGAAATTTATTTGGCTAAACTGAGGGGCTCGCTGCTGAGATTTTTCGTACATACATGTAGATTAGAACCAGATACCCAGCGAGCCCCCAATCATGAAAGAAATTACTACTGTATCTACTGACCAACATACATATTATAATGTAGCAAAAGCGGAATTATGCAAATGTTGTGCCCATAAATACTGTTTAATGTAAACATTGAACATCCATATAAACATAAAAATCATAGATTACTTTCATTGCATTACTGAAAAGCCGTGTTTTTCCTGATCGTTTTCATGGCTAACATCGATATAGTCCGCCATTTTATTTGAGTGTGTTTGTGACCTGACTCTGACCAGTGATGTCATAAGGTGCACTATAGAAAGTCTGTGATTCATTGACTAAACCAGTCGGACGAGGTCTCGTTGAAACCTCGTTACATATGCATTGGTTCAGATGTATGTGGTGATTGTTAAAAATATATCGAATCACAAGTACATAACAAAAAACATAAAAAATACAAAATAATTAAAAAAAATAGTAAAAATAAAATAAATATATAAA